TAAGATAGAGAAAAAAATAATAGTGTGATTAATAAACACAGTGACTAGTAAAATTGAAATGCCAAATAAGAAATATTGTAATTAACAACTTACCTTTTCCAGTACATACCATACAAGGAAGGATAATCGTCGCTATAAGACATAGCCTGGGATTATTAAGAGAAGAGCTAGTGTCGGAAAAGAAGAAAAAAGCTTGTTAATAATGAAAAGTCCTGGCTAAATCAATCTTATGCGCCTCGACTTACCTTAGTTATGCAAACATTGGACTGGTGAAGCAACTGACTTGCCATTTTCCAGGCCAACAATATATTGTTTTTAATTAAAAATATACTTCTTCTAAAATAGATAAATATCAAAATTATATTGACAATTATTATTATTATATATTAAAAATAATTAAATTATAATATTACAATTATATTGTTATATGCAAAAAAAAAGGATTATATAAGTTAGCCAATAATATGATTATTAATATTGATTTATGATGTAAATAAATAAAGTGACTACTTTAAATATAAATACTTTTGTTTAATTATTAATTTTTTAAAAAATTTTATTTTATTATATTTATTAATTATAAAAATAAATTAAATTTTAAGTCAGAATATTTCAATAAAATATAATATTTAACAAAATACTTTATCTTCTTAAAATGCTTCTCTTATTTCTCAAACTTGATTTATTACTAATATGCAATGAAATATTGTTAATCCTTATTAGCCTGTCTATGCTTATAATAATGATGATTGCTCAGATTTAGCAAAAAGCATTGCAAGCATATAAAATACCTTTTTGGTAATAAGTAGTAAAAATAAATGTTCTTTTAGAAGTTAACAGCAATTCTCAAGACTTCAATTCTCTTTCAGCCAATGCTTAATCACAATCCTGACATCATTTAAAAAAAATGGTTATAACATGAATCTGATAAAAATTAATCTCAATCAAGGCAACAGTTAAGAGATTAGCAAGAATTGAGATGTTCTTTAAAAAACTGATATTAATCAAAATAACCTTCTAGAGAATGAAGTCAATCAAGATAATGATTTGAATCCTAACAGCCCAGACATTTTGGTTGGATGTATTTTGAATGAGAAAATCGTGTAGAGATAATGTGTATTAGGATTTGAAGTCAATTTATCTTTGAACCAACAGTTTCTCTTACAGGACACAAATCAAATGTGTCTACTTAAGTTACCACTTCTTTTTTAATAGCTGGATATGACTCTAGCAAAAGTAGAGAAGCACTGGCTTAAGCTATCAGATTATAGGATAAAACCTTCTGATATTTTACTTTTATTTACATTGGTTAGGCTTTAGCTGCCTTTTTTCTTTAACAGTAGCATTGCTGCTCATAGGGAACAACTTTATTGTTAAGATAATATAAATTGATTATGTGGTTAATAAAGGAGTGTTATGATTGAAATATATAGGAGTTGATTAACTAAAGTTCTCTCCAGTTGATTGTTGTATTATTTGAATACATGTTAAGTAAAGATTACTGAAACTCATACAGGACACAAGTCACATACTCCCCCAATCCAGTAGATTATCAGTTGATCATTTGTTATTGTTCTTATTGTTATTGTTATTATTGTTATTGGGTGTGAGAATTTTGTTGAAAAACTGGTTGTGAGTGAATTTGAACAGGTTTGATGTTGTTATTAAAGAGTAGAGATATTTTATTGGTTATTTGTTAAGTGTAGATCTTTGGATAAAGTAAAACTGATTGTGGTTTTTTGAGTAAGTTTGGAAAAATTATAAAATAGTGAAGAGATGATACATGATATTGTTTTTAGATCAAGAAGAAGAATAATAAATTTTCAAAGGTTGTATTAAGATAAACATTAGATCCAGTAACTTTGTTTGAATATGTTATTAGAATTGAATTTGTATTATAGCAAAAGAAAAGTGAGAAAAAAGTGATTATCATGATTATAAAGGAGGAAGATACTGTTGTGGGAAAAAATGGCTGGGCTGTGTGGTGCAGTAACTAGATACATTTGTCATACATCATTTATTGGCACTAAAGCTTGTTGAGTTTAGGGTGATTTGCATAATGCGATGGTGGATAATTGTACATGTTGCTAGTAGTATAAATAGAAGTAGAATAGTCTGATGATAATATATAACTTGTATTCATGTAATTTACAGTTATTGTCTAATAAAGTAATAAACTCTTATTTGCATCTGTTATTTGCTACTCTAAATATATACTAGTGTTTCACAGAAGATCTAAAGAGGCTAAAAAAGGAAACTACAGCATGGATCAAGTACCGGACTAGTAATAGAAAAGAAGCAAGTTCATGAAAGCATTTAATCAAATCGTTACACACTTCAAGAGAGATGAGAATTTACTGAACCCCCTATCATTATGTGAGTGCTAGTCCTGGAATAGCAACAGACTTGTTGAAAATAACGATAACAGTACCTAAAGATAAAAATTATGAAGGAAGGCTGCTATAGGCCTTTTTCTATACAATCAAAAGCTAAGAAAGACTTCCAACTTGCTTAAATTTTAACTAGAGATCCCATTCCAATGCAACAGTGTTTCTTAAAGTCTTTATATCCTTTGGGTTTAAAACTTATTTGTCTTAAGAAATAGAAAGAGAAAAATACTTCTTGAGAAAAAATTTTTAAAAAGAAAATTTTCAAAAAATTAATGGTGAATGAGTGAGAGTTTTTTTTTTTTTTAAGAGTAAAAATTATATATTTTTAAGTACTTATTTTAATTAAAAATATTTTATATTCAAAGTTAATAAAAATACAATCAAATAATTAGTACTAATATGTAGTAGTAAATATTTAATAAAAATATAAACATATGCTTATTAACTAAAAAATTAAATTATTGAATAAATAAAATATTATAAATTTTGAAAAAATTTAAAAAAACAATACTCATATTTTTTAATATTTAAATAATGATTATTTGTAATTATTTGATTGTAAACTTTTTAAAAAAACTTTAATTTTAATTAAACTTAATCTATCTAATATCATTACTTATTTTTAATAATATAATAATCAAATAATCTGTATAATAAAATGGCTAGAGTTTTTAACAATACTATTTTGATATCAAGTTCATTATACAGTAGTAGGTTACATTCATATATTGAATTTATTATAAGTTGATATTATTTTAATATTGATTCAGAATTCTAGAAATGGCAAACAAATATGACTTTTATTATTGATTTGAAATAAATATATTAAATAATAATATGATATAAAATGCAAAAAAAAACTCTTTTCTGTTCACCTCACATTCTTTAAAAAAATTTTTTTTTAGAAAATACCTCTTTTTACATTTCTTTTTCTTGGCATATAAAATCACACTATACTGTATTGTGAAATTTTTGCTTTGTATCGAAATATAAATATGTCTGTAATATATGCTATATTGTATCATCTTTTTTTAAAAAAAATTGATACGTGCTAAACACTGTGATTTTAAGAGAATCTAGAAAAAACTTTGAATTGTCTTTATAACGATATTAAGAAATTTTAGAAAATATAAAATTCTCTCGACTAAAATAAGTGCACTAGTTCCAATGCCTTGGTTAGATTACACAATCCCTCCCTATATTGACTAAGACTCTTTTGCAGGACAAGAAAGGACATTACGGTATCACACTGTTTTAAATGAAAGTACTCTTTGCATGTTTCTTGGGTGCAGATCATACGAACGTAATTTCCTTAAATTTTTAGAAACGTGTTTGATCACTTCTAATTTATAACACCATAGTAATTATTAGTCTTCATTTCGAATTTATTATGACACTGTTCTTCGATAAATCGAAAGCCAAGAAATCATTGTCGTCATAAAAAGAGACTACAGTACTTCATAAAATTAAATATTTGAGCTGTTATTTACCGTTCTTAAATTAAGCAAAAATACTTATCAGTCGTCTAGTATTTAGAATACCTTGGATAACTATGATATTCTTAACTTAAATAAATAATATTTATGACCTTAAGTTCAGATTGTTGTGTAGACTTTTGAAAAGCCAGCTTCCACCCAAAACCTGGCGTCTTTCAACTGTTCAAAGGAATATACTTGGTATATTAGATAAATATATCCAAAAATGATATTTTCCGTGGTCCAATTTTCGAAGTTTTTTATATCACATGGCTAGCACCAAGTAACTGTTGTATTTCCAACTCATTTCAATCACGCCTACTTGTCGATATCTCACACAAAATTAAGCCTCATTTTTAGAATTACGAGTAACTTTTTTTTTAATGCTTAAAAAGCACACTATACCATATTTTACATAATTCTGAATTAAGTCCACAAAGCAATAAGTTCTTCAAAATGTGAGTAACATTCAATTGTGAAACAATTTTTTTTTAAAGTTCAGATTTTGTTTTTCAAGTTTATTTGTGCAAATCGGTACTGTACTGTACATTACTTCGCGATGACAAATAAAAAAACATTTATTTTAAATGATGAATCCAATAAGAATGATACATTTTTACACTTGATTTCATATGATAAGCGCATAATAGAATAAATATAGTAATAGCTCGAATCATACGTCGCAAAAATTCATGATTGTTAATACTCGAGTACTGTACGTACGACTTGGGCATAATCCTCATCCTTGCATACAAAATTCAGTATCAAATCCTACAGATCTTTCCATAGGAGTCCACATTAACGAAGCATTCATCAGTTCATAAAGCATGTCGCAAATCCAATTTTGTCAGTTTAAGGTGGAGTTACGCAAGGTAAACAAAAAGTTCAACGTTCTAATCTTGTGCTACTCTACTTACATAAAGGGTTGCAAATACAATACTGTACAGTGGAAGGTCAAAATTTTACTCATATATGTAATAATAATAGGAATTACGAACTTTAAATTTTTTGCATCGCGTTCTTATTATTGTAAAAAATACAGTACGGTGGTTTATTTACACATAACTGTACACAGTATAGTCATTTGTCCTTTGCTCATCTAAAAAATTTAGCTCAAAAAGCCACAATATCATTAATGAAACAAAGATTCAAGCAACTTACTCGTAGAGAAGATGGAAAGCCTAAAACTCAGGACCAAAATAATTTCTTGATGCCATCACCAAATCCACAACTCGGAAATTCTAATAACAAAAATGATCAATCTAAAAGTGATTCTAGTAGTTTTACTTCCTCAACACTTACATCTTCATCTTTAAGTTTTCTTGAGGGCCCGGATAACGATTCGCCTATTCGAGATCCAAAAGATCCCGAGAACAAATATATAGAGGGAATAACATTAACCACTACTTTTATTGAAGGAGCTACGACCAAAATAACGGATGCCGTTTCTACAGTTCTTCCTGCGGTGGCTAATAATGAATTAATAAAAAGGTTCATTCCGTTTGTAAGTGATGCATGCGAAATTATCCTATCAATAATATCCATTTACAAAACCGCCGAACATAATAAATCCATTTGCGGCGCCATCCTTGATCGTGTATACGCGGCTGAAGCTGCCATCAAATACCTTCACATCCGTAGAGATCAGAAGACGGAGTTTTTTAATGAGAAAAACATTAAAGTCGTTGAAAATCTAATGAAATGTATGAAGGAGATGGAAAAGTTTTGCAAAGAAGTGTCTAAGGTGACGGGATGGAAAAAATATTTTAATGCTAAGCTCATTGATCAGGATTTTAAAGAATTGACAAGTAGATTTGAAATGTACATGAAAACATTGCATTTCGTTATCAGCGTAGAAACAAATACCCAGGCGAGAAAAGAAAGAAAATTAATAAAACAAGATATTGAGAAAATGGAAGAGGTAATTAAATTGTGTTGATATATTTTGATGGATACAGTATCTAACTTTCATTATATTTATTTATTCTCTTAGTATTTGAAAATGATTAATTACAATATCTTCCAAGCGATCGAAATTCAAGAAGCGAATGAAGCTTATAAGAGGCATAAAAATTATGACATTAAGCCCTCAGAACCACTTAATATTTTGAATTATGAGCTTATACAGAAAATTCCCAAAACTAAAGTTGAACTTCGCAAACGAAATTTGGATCATCAGCTTTTTGCCTTTAAACTGGTACCCGACGCTATCCCTACCTCTTCTAATACGACTGAAACGCAACAAGAAACGGCTGAAATGCAAAAGGATCGTTTATTAAACGAAGACATTTCATTACAAATTGAGATTCTAAAGAAATTAAAATCATCACCGAATATCGTAATATTCGTGGGCTTTACAAATGGAATTATCGACGGTGATTTTTGTCGATATTTAGTTACCGAATGGCTTGAATATGGATCTTTAAAAGAATTTTACACTAAACACAAGGAGTTAATGACGACGGCAAAAAAATTGGAATTTGCTACTGATATTGCTAGAGGACTAAACTTTCTGACGAATGTTGGAATACTTCATCATGATGTAAGAAGTGAAAACATATTTGTTGGAAAGCATAAGGAAGCGAAAATAGGAAATTTCGGGTAAGTTTGATTGTATTGTGCAACAAAATGTAATAAAAATTTGCTGATTCAGTTCATATTTCTTTGAAAAAAAAAGATTATCGAAAGAAGCTATTAACAAAACTAAACAAATTAAGGCTGGCATTCATAACATCAGGTATATGGCACCTGAGATGCTTGACACAACAACTTCGAAGGACATCCGAAAAAAAAATGTTTCTTATAATTACAAGTGCGAAGTTTATAGGTATTGTTTGATAAAACCGATAATTTGTTTATCTGCTAAATATATTTAATATAGCACGCAGAGATTAATCAACATTGTATTCTACCTAGTTTTGGGATGCTTCTCTGGGAAATTGCCGAGTTAAATATTCCGTATTACGATATAGAAAGTGATATAGTAGCCATTCGAGATAGAGCTCAGAACGAGAAAAATCGTGCTCGATTTAGTAATCAAACAAATGTCCCCATGAAATATCAAGAATTAACACATAAAGGTTAGTCATAATTTGATTTTTGGAAGCTGAACAATTTTATAACCTCTGTTCTCTAAATAGCTGTTCGAACGAATGCAAAAGATCGACCTAATTTTACCGACCTCTTCGTCAGTTTAGAGAAACTTTATGAACACTACACAAACAGTATCTCGTCAGAAGGCAACTCCAGCATCAATTCTAACATTTCTAAGTCCCCTGAAGAAGACTCTGAAGAAGATGATATTAGCAGTGCTAAAACTGTTGAAGATGCCTTAAAGGAACACATGTCAGAACATGGAAACAAAAAACTTGCATGGAAACTTTTCCAAGAACATGCAAGTAATGGAAATATGATCGCGAAATACTGGGTTGGGTTTTATTTGTATTATAATTATCCCATGCCAGTGGATCAAACATTAGAAACAGAATCAATGAGAAATGATCGTTACACGCGTGCTGCGCAATTATTCAAAGAAGTCGCCGATTCTCTTTGCCCACAGAATGGGGCTGCACAGTTTCAATACGGAAATTGCCTGTATAATGGCGATGGTGTCGCGAAGGATAGAAAATCGGCATTTGAATATTACCTGAAAGCATCTGATAATGCCAATCCATTTGCAATGTTCAAAGTTGCAAACTATTACAATAAGGGAAAGTATATTCCAACGAACAAGGAATTGGGTCTAAAGTATTCGGTAGAAGCGGAAAGAAAAGCCCATGCATACGCATATCCAAAGCCGTCAGTACAAACAGAACAATCGGAAAATTGACAAAGCGGAATAATAATAATACTGTATATATATGAGCAATTATCTTTGAAGGGGACGAAGTGTTTTTTCGGTCCCTATTTTTGATAATACGTATACAATAAAAAACTTTAAGACTACAATTATAAGGTCCAAAAATTCCTGTCCGCCATCAAAGATAATTGCTCATA